CCTTCTGGCCGAGTTCAAGTGGGCCCAGACTCATCCCTTTGACTTCCTTTGGGTTTCTCTGAGCTTCACCACTCAAACCAGCTGCCTTCTTCCTTTCCTTAACTCTCCCAGTAGGGGAAGGTTTGGGGGAGAAGGCGGGGGAGGAAAAGAGGGATGTGATGAATGGAACTGGGGTTGATGTTGCCAAGGCGTGGTCTGTATTTGTCATCCCACCCCTGCTGCCCTACGGTTCCTGTTTGATTCTTATTTAATGTTAGTGCATTCATCATAATATCATTTAAAAAAACTCAAATATGTATCTATTTCACCCACATTCCTGCCTTCCTAGCACAACTGTTTTCACTTTTCTGAGTCCTTTTGGTCTCTGTCTTCAAGCATATTTCTACATAGTTGTAATTGTACACATAGCACTGTGTATTCTGCATTTTCAACTCATCCATATATTACAAACATTTCCATACTGCTACAGTGTTCCTGATGACCATTTATTTCCGTGATCACGTAACCACTTGCCCTGCCACGTGCCCTAACCCACTCTTCCTGTCTTGGGGTCTGATTTTCCTCCCCTTTCTCTTCCCCACTGCCAGCAATCTTTGCGATCACACTGCCATCTAGAAGCAGAGAAACAAAGTTGGGTTACGGCCCTGACCAGGTCCTCTCCCACCCCCAGGTGCTGCCCCAGACCCACCACCTCCTTTGAAACTCCCTCTTTCCTTGGTGATAGGAAAGCAACCAAACGCAACTGTGGGACAGTCTCCGTGCACGTGGCCTTTTTTTTTTTTCCGGCCGCGCTGGGTCTTCGTTGCTGTGCACGGGCTTTCTCTAGTTGTGGCAAGCGGGGGCTACTCTGTGCGCTGGCTTCTCATTGCGGTGGCTTCTCTTGTTGCTGAGCACGGGCTCTAGGCGTGCGGGCTTCAGTAGTTGTGGCTCGCGGGCTCTAGAGCGCAGGCTCAGTAGCTGTGACACACGGGCTTAGTTGCTCCGTGGCATGTGGGATCTTCCCGGACCAGGGCTCGAACCCGTGTCCCCTTCATTGTCAGGTGGATACTTAACCACTGCGCCACCAGGGAAGTCCCGCGCGTGGCTTTGAGATGGTTTTAAATACTCACAAATCGGCTCCTCCCGGGAGGAAACAGTATGGAGCCGGCTTCTTAGGCCTTGTTCCTTCTTCTCTAGGTTTTTGGGGAGATGCTGAAGGGGATTCTGAGGCACTGCTGTGGTCCACCCAAGCTCCCCTGGGCGGGGGCCTGGGGCTGAAGCCCTCTCTAGGAGCACAGAGTGTGTGTTCTACTCGCAGAGGTTAAGCTTGGGCTTCTCATTGCGGTGGCTTCTCTTGTTTCGGAGCACGGGCTCTAGAGCGCAGGCTCAGTAGCTGTGACACACGGGCTTAGTTGCTCCGTGGCATGTGGGATCTTCCCGGACCAGGGCTCGAACCCGTGTCCCCTTCATTGTCAGGTGGATACTTAACCACTGCGCCACCAGGGAAGTCCCGCGCGTGGCTTTGAGATGGTTTTAAATACTCACAAATCGGCTCCTCCCGGGAGGAAACAGTATGGAGCCGGCTTCTTAGGCCTTGTTCCTTCTTCTCTAGGTTTTTGGGGAGATGCTGAAGGGGATTCTGAGGCACTGCTGTGGTCCACCCAAGCTCCCCTGGGCGGGGGCCTGGGGCTGAAGCCCTCTCTAGGAGCACAGAGTGTGTGTTCTACTCGCAGAGGTTAAGCTTGGGGTGGTGCAAGCGAGAGAACACCAACCGCACACGTGGCAGCATTATACCGTCCCTGGAACCCTCCCTGTGGTGTTGACGTCGCCTCGGTGTTCTGTTTCTTTAGCGAACTCCCTCCAGCCAGCGTGGAGGTTTCTGTTTATCTCACGAGAGCAAGGCACCAGTCTTCTGTCCCTTCTCGCGAGCCAAATGATCAACTTAGGGATGATTAAAAAAAATAATGATGAACTTATTTATAATAAGAGCTAATATTTACGGAGTACTTACTGTGTGCCAGATGGTCTGCTCGAAAGCATTTTCTACTTGTCATTTTACTTCCAGCCCCCAAGTAAGACAGGAAACTCACTACCCCCATTTGATGGTGTGGAAATGAGGCTCTGAGCAGTTAAGTGACTTTCCTGGGTCCTCCTTAGAATTCTTACTGTACTGTCCCTCCAACCGTTCCAGCCATCCCAGCTGGGAAACGACACGTTCAAGAGAAGCAGAGATGACCCGCTCCCGTTTCATTCCCTTCAGGGAAGCAAGCCCCTTGCTGGGGTGGCAGTTATTTTGTACAAAGGCATTGATTAGAAATTTTCCATTCCCTTTAAGTTTCCCATAAGAGGCTCTGCCCTATTTTCTCCTTAGAAGTCTCTGCTTCGGGGAACCTGCTTCAAGGGAGGGGGGAGCAGGAAAGGCCTGATGGGGTGGGGGGTGGGGGAGAAAGGGGAGAGGTGATCGTATCTCAGCCTCCTTCCCCAAAGCCTCAGAGAAGAGGGAGGTGGGTGGTGCAGAAAGTGTGGATGCAGGGCCTGCCCTGCCCAGCTCCTCCTTGGGGATGAGCGTCCCCAACCCGGGGCTATGAGAGCTCCCGCCAGTGGCTGGCCCGGTAGAAAGAGCAGCAGCTTCTCCAGCAGGCAGACCCGGCTTCCTGTCCCACCGTGGCCACTTACTGGCCAGATGACCTTGGATAGGCAACTTGAACATCTGCAGAAGGAGGATAATCGTACTTCCAGGAGTGAGTGAGGTCCCACGCCCTGTGCGGAGCACAGAGCAGATGCCCTGAGAGCAAGCTTCCTTTTCTCGCCCGCTGGTTCATCTCTGGAGGAACATACACACTTAGGGCTCCGGGGCCAAGCTAACCCAAGATCTGGTGATGGGAAGGCGGCCTGGCCCGATGCTTGTTGATTCCTTTTCTCTGTCTGTGTGCCGGAAATGGGCTTCTTTTGGTTGAAGTCTGTGGTCATTGTACTGAGTCACTTTCTGTTTACACTCCATGGGCACATGCATCTCATCATCTTGGGCTCAAAGCACCAAATACAAGGGGGACTTCGCTTTCATGTAGCCGTGGGGGAGGAGTGGGGAGACCCGAGGGCCCAGGGGAGCTGTTCCTCTGTTGACTTGGCGAGGACTCCACAGCAGCCAGCTGGGGGCCTGTGTCTCTGCCCTGCCGCCCTGGTCCCCACCAGCCATGACTGGAGAGAGGCTGCAGCCGTGGTAACAAAGAAGCCTTTTGGAGTAGTCACTTGGAGAAACTGAGGCACCAAACCAGGAAGTGAGCTTCTTTGCCTTTGGATTTTACTTCTCCTGCCTTCTCTGTCTGTCCTCTGTGCCTGCTTGCCCTCCACAGACTCAGCATCCCACGTCTGGGCTACAAACAGGCCTGCTGCAGTGTCTAATCATAGCAGTGGGCAGGCCCTGGTTTAGCCCAACACTTGAAATTGCCCAATTTCAGAAACTGGTTAAAGAACTTGGCCAAGGCATTTTTGAGATGAGGCATGGTGCTGGGGAGGCATTTGTCTGCAGATGGCCAGCCTGTCATGTCGTGGGCCCCAGCCCCAGGCTCCCTTCAGGCTTCTGACTCAAGCCCAGCCCGACCCAGGTTGGGGACACACCTGATGTGAGCCCCAGGCCTCTGGGGGATGACATGCCGTTGTGAGGATGAGGCTGGAAATGCCCCGAGTCTCTTGTACTGTGACACACAACTCAGGAGACCCAGACAACTCAGGAGGCCCGGACAGCTCTGGGCGCATCCTGAAAGCCCGAGTGTGCCGGCTGTGGCCACGTGCGTTTGTATGTGCTGTGTGTTGTGGGAAAGGCAGTCCCCAGAGTCTGTTTCTCTCTGGACCTGTTCCCCAACATGCCAAGCCACTCCTTCTAATAGGTGTGAACATAATAGACTCGTTTTTCCTTTTTCAGACAGGCTCACCACTGCATGCCCGCTGCCCCAGCCACCATACAGGTCATAACACCAGGGCTGTATTTCTGGTACCTCAGCATCGCCCCCCGTGGCGGAGTAAAATGTCAGTGGAGCAAATTACCGACTGAATGCTGTGGAATCTATAAATATTAAATTGCTCTGGCTTTCCCTGGCCCATATAAAATTAAAGCTGCGGTCAGCTCCAGAGGGGAGGCAGCTGGTTAGTGCAAGGGGGGGAGGGGACCAGCTGCCAGTGGAGAGACAAGTGTCCCCAAAGGGCAGGGCTGAGTCTGCCTCTGTGGGTGGTGGCTGGAGGAGAAGCAGCGGGGAATGGGGTACAAAGAACAGGAGGTGGAAAACCCACATGCGACTGTAACCCAGGAGGGATCTCCTCTGATTTTCCACTGGAGGCTTTACGGTTAGAGGCGGGCTGTGGTTTGCGGGGCGCTTTGTGTTGCGTTTCTTACCCCAGCCCAGGATTCTAACGTGAGGGCGACAGCACTGCCGTCAGCATGTTCCCTCCAGGGACTGCCCCCCTCAGAGCAAATGCTGGAACCTCCCCAAGCAGCAGGGCTGGAGATGGCAGCCAGCTGTCCTCCTCCTGTCCTTCTGCCCCTGGCAGCCCCTGTCCCAGGCTTCTCCCCGCAACAGGCCCCCAGTGCTCGCACGGGTGGGGCTCTCCTGCCCTTGACCTGTGCTGGTCTGCATTGCAGGGGAGTGGGTGTTCACACCACCTCATGAGGTTTAGACTCCCTGCAGGTATGGGAGCAGCTCCTGCTTCTTGGGGATCTCTCTAGGACTTCTCTGCTTCTATGTGCCAAGCCCCCGTGCTGAGTGCTGAAACGCACAGCCTTGTTGATCTTTACGTGGCGGCAGGATAAGGTGGGAGCTGCAGTGCATTCACCAGGAGGCGGGGGGCGGGGGAGTGACTTGCTTATTAGGCTCCCGTGGAGATGTTACCTGCCAACCCAGGGGGGCTCCCTGGCTCTTCAGAGGCTGAGCCCAGCTTCCATCCCAGGGCTCTCCAGCTGAATTGTGTCCTAGGGGGCCGCCCCGTGGACTGTGGGTCCGTGGCCAATCTCGCGCCCTCTCTTGCAGGCATCCCCACCCTCATTGTGCTGGACCCACAGGGGGAGGTGATCACGCGGCAGGGGCGGGTGGAGGTGCTGAACGATGAGGACTGCAGGGGCTTCCCGTGGCACCCCAAGCCCGTGCTGGAGCTCTCCGACTCCAACGCCGTGCAGCTCAACGAGGGCCCCTGCCTCGTCCTTTTTGTAGGTATGAAGCTCGGCGGGAGCCCCAGGGTGGGGCGGGATGGGAAGAGCTCACTGGGTGGGGGTCGGGGAAGTCTGTCCCCGCACCTTCTTTCTGTCGCCGGCAACGCAGGGCCTGGGCCTTTGTCTCCACGGCTGCCTGCCGTGCTTCTGACCCCAGTGATTCACTCGTGGCTCCCCTGTGGGTGGCGGTGCTCTGGGAGCTGCCGCTGTGCTTTCCTTCCTAGCTGCTCCCGGCTGCCAGCTGGGAGGAAGAGGTCAGCCCGCGAGGAAGCCCTCGGCCCCATGATGAGCAGACCCATTGTTGGGGGCCGGGCTGCAGCACAGCAGCTGTGGGGGGCTGGGCCCCTTAGGCCAAGGCTCGTCCCCAGCTGCTGCTGCTGCCGCTCACCTGTGCTCTGAGGAGCTGCCCCAGGGTGGCTGGAGCAGGGCCCGGCCTTGGGCTGCATCTCTGGGGCTGAGAGCCCCTCCGTCTCCCTGCCTCTCCCACTCTGACTTTCAGTGGGTGACAGCAGGAGGACACAAAACACCCACTCCAGGCTCCCTGCAGGCCCATAGGGTGACCCTGGTTCCTTCTGCAAACAGAGCAACTGCTGGCCAAGGGCCACCTTGCCCTCTGCGTTGGGACTCGTTGCTTGGTTCCAACTTAAAGTAAATATGGGTACCAGAATCACGGCTGAGCTGCTGCCATACGCACCACGGTGAGGGGGCTGGAGAATGCAGGCAGCATCCGACTTCCCATTCTCTGGGAGTCTGGTTTGGGGGCCCCCAGGCGGGGAGCCAACATGCGGACTTGAGGGAATCCTGAAGCAAACGGACTTGCAGGCTGGCCCTGTGCTTGGAGGACAGAGGCCCTGGGAGGGGATGGCCTTGGGGGACCATTCACCTTGGGGCTTTCCTAGGCAGGCTCACACGCCCACATCCTGGGGCCTGGGAAGCAATTCTCAACTGAGGGACCGTAGGGAACCTCACCGGCCATTTGCGGATGTGGAAATAGGGTCCCAGGGAGGCAAAGCAAGTTCCCAGCATCACGGAGCTAATTAACTGTGGATCTAGAGTGTGTGGGGCCGAGCATGTGCACTGGGCCTCCCGGGCGGTGTGGCACTTCTGGGTGAAGGTCCTCTGCGGGCACCTGTTTCCACCCACCCCCGGTCTGCGCTTGCTCTCGGTTTCAGGGCTCAGCAGGGGTGAGCTGCTCCCATGCTGCTGTTTCACTGGAAGCAAGAGATGCCCAGAGGGGGCTCTGCGAGCCCAGCTGGGGGTTCTCCCTTGCAGTCAGCCTGTCCCTTCCCAGCCAGGTCCCGCTGCCAGCTGTGAAGTTGCCAGTGCCCTGGTGCCTCCCAACCGCCACCAAAGCTGCTGATCAGACCACAGTCCTTACCCACCACCACCAGTTCTGCCATTTCCGTTAGGAAGTCAGAGATCCGCGGTCACGGCATCTCATTCTGTGACTGTGAGAAAAACTGCTGGGACCTCAGGTCCTGGCTTAGGGGAGGCTTAGCTTCCAAGGTGGGTTTGTGAAGAGCTCAGTGAACAGGACTGCATTTGCCTGGGCATTAGCGCTACTTGGTTCTTCTTGGGGACATGGTTCAGGACAGCCTGTGTGTGAGAGCAGCGAGCAAGCTGGCCTATGCCTGGGGACACACGCTCCTGCACCCAGGAGGCGAGGCTGGTGTCCCAGGGGAGGCTTCTCTTCCCTTCAGGGGCTGCTCAGATGGGCAAGTCAGGCCCTGGACCCAGGCACCACTCCATCTTGATTGACAAGCCAGTGCGTCTTTGTGCCTTTCTCTTTCCTGTCACAGATTCTGAGGATGACGGGGAGTCCGAGGCGGCCAAGCAGCTGATCCAGCCCATAGCTGAGAAGATCATCGCCAAGTACAAAGCCAAAGAGGAGGAGGCGCCACTTCTGTTCTTTGTGGCGGGGGAGGTGAGTGCTGCTGCGGCCTGGCCCCGGGGCTGGCTCAGCTGGCCCGCTTTTAGAACACCAGTGATAACAGCCCTTGGGGATGTCTGAAGGGGGTCTGGGGTGACCATGCTTCCAGAAGACTCCACAAACAAATGTAGCATAAAAAGATGTCAAGGGAAACCAATTCTGGCCCCTGCCGCCTCCTTCTTGCCATCTCTCACACACGGCAGCCTCAGGGCCGCAGGAGGCCCTCCCACGACAGAGCCCCCACCTCCACCCCTTGCACCCAGGCTATGCCAACCCCGGCTGCTGGGGAGCCACAAAGATCGCAATCAACACTTACTCCCTCTGGGCTGGGTCCAAACCAAGCTCTTGATGCTTTACAGAGTGTCTTCTTGGTTAGTCCCCTCCCCTGGCCCACAAGGGGGCCTTTTCCCATCACGGGATGCCGGCGGGGATCCGACCACCACTCCAACCTGCAATTACCCCTCCAGCCCAGGGAGAGTGCTGACGTTCCTGGCATCCCTGTCTCTCCCACCCCAGGCCTGTCCCTGGAGGGCCTTCAGCTGGGCTGGACCGAGCAGAAGGCTCGCCACCGGGAGAGGGGGAGGGGGAGGGACGAAGGGCGGGCCCTTAAGCTGGGCCGCCTCCCCGGAGGTCTGGGAGCCTGGGTCCCGCACACGTGGAATCTGCAAGATGGCTGCAGCCGCGTCCCCCCGGTCCCCACCCCGAGCCACCCTCCGCACAGGTGCCGCTGCCTTCCCCCACCCGGGCACCGGCCTAAGCCAGTTACTGACGGATACACGTTTTGAAGCCCCGCTGCCCTCCTTGCTCCCATCTGTACCTCCAATTGGTCCGAGCCCCTGCTCATTTCACGCTGTGCTTGGATCCCAGGGGATGCCGTGGCGGCGTGACACCCGGAACCACCCATTCATCACCTCAGTAGCCGCCCCTGCTCCGCGGGCCCCTGGAAGGCAGCTGAAGTCACCCTGCCCAGCCGTGGGGTGGAGGGAACAAAGCAGGTTCACAGGGCCCTGCCTTGGGGGGGGGGTCCCCAGCCCGCTCCACACAAAGCACAGATGGAAGCCGCTCTGAATGTATTAAACTCTAACCCCTTTCGAACGGCTCGGAGAGAAAAGATGGGCGCAGAGAAGAAAGGGCGGAGCCAGTGCGGGGGCAGGGCTGGAGGGCTCCGGTGGCCACGTTACAAACGTGGCTGAAAAGGAGCAATGGCAGGTTTCCTATAGGCCAGGCCCCGAACGAGGTGCCTCACCTGGACCACCCACGTGCTCCTCACCTCGTGGGCAGGGAGCATCATCCTTACTGTCCCACAGATGAGGAGGGTGAGGCTCAGAGAGGGTGAGATGGCACCCGAGACCCGCCCGCGCGGGCTGTGCGTGCAGGCTGGTTCTCATGCTCGCGGAGCCCCACGTGAGCCATTATTGAATCCGTTTCACAGGTTTTCGGAGACCTGGGCTCCGAGAAGTTTCTTGCCAAAGTCCTGCATTAAGTGGGTGGCAGAGAGAGGAGTGAACGTGAGATGAGGAGTGACTCCAGAAGCAGTGCTCTCCCTCCCTCTGTGCGTGCGGGTCTGGCTGACGGGCCGCCAAGCCTGGACCAGGAGGTTGGGCAGAGGCCCGGGGGCATCCACTGCTCCAGCTCTCCCACCCACCGCCAGGCCTTCCCCTGCTCTGCACCTGGGCTCCTGGCCTTGGCAGCTCTCTTGGTCTGACGTTGGAAGCAAGGCATCCAGGAAGGAGCACAGGGTGCTGGAACGTCAGGCACCAACTGGGGGCCTCTGAGCCCTGGACTTAGGCCCCTCACGATCCCCCAGGGCTGAGCGGGCCGCGGCTTGATCCTGTCCTCTCCCGCAGGCAGAAGTTGCCCCTTCTGAATCCTTAACAGACGTTAAAATTTATCTCCCCGTGTTTGCTCCAGGGAAAGTGAAGGGGAGGCAGCGGGCTCTGGCTTGGCCTCCTAACGGGAATTGGATGTATGGTATTTGTCCAGGTGTCTCCCCTCTGTTTATCGTGAAGATTGTTTATTAACCCAGATGGAGGCCCTGAGTTGGGTGAATGCTGCCAGAGATTGCTGAATCACCCGTCATTGCTGGGAAGTGCGTGCTCTTTATAGGGTGGGGGAAAGAAAGACAATAACTAATCATCTTTCCTAAAGAACTGCCCTTTCAGAAAGAAATGTTTCTTGTCTCAGAGCCCGGTGAGCCTCCTGCTCACCAGCATTTAAGGCCAGGAATACCCCGAGTCCGTTTTCAGCAGGGCGACTCAGGGCTTTTCATTCAGTGGAGAATTTTGCACATTTTATGGTAAGACAACCTGGGGATGGGTATAGAGAGTCCATTTCCTGTATCAGCAGTGTGAAAGGTAATCTCAGATGGTTGCTCCCTTACAAATCTTTCACCTTGTCTTTGGATTTCTCTTTGCCTTTTATACTTAATAAAGCTACATCTGATACTAGGGGAATTCCTCAGGGCAGTCACTGGGAACGGATGATAAATACAGCGACCCGTGTAAACTTCAGTAGCACTTCAGGGGCCCTGGCTTCTGAACTGGCGGTGTAACTCCTGCCCCCGCTGCAGCTGTGGGGCTGGGAGCAGTGGGCTGTTTTCTTAAAAACATTCTGAAGTTGAAGTCCAGATTGGCCTGGGCCCACAGTGGGGCTGCAGATAATTGAGAGTTGGTTGCAAAAGTAAGTAATCAAAGGACATCCCATTTTCACAAGTTAAAGCTGCTTTCGTGCTAATAAGAGAAGATGACTTGCCTGGGGTTTGGGGTGATGCACAGAGAGAATTTTATGAACCAGGCTGCCCCTCCCCCTGGCAGGGCAGGGTGCCCTGCTCCCCATTTTGAGAGCCCATCTTTCCTGGAGGCCGGCCTCGCTCCAGGATGATGTGGTGGCTCCATCCCGAGGCCGTCTGGGGAGTCTGGGCCCAGGGGACTCTCTGCCCTCTTTCTTGGAAACTTACTGGTTTTCTTTCCCTCCGGTGACTTCCAGGATGACATGACAGACTCCCTGCGAGACTACACCAACCTGCCCGAGGCTGCCCCTTTGCTCACCATTCTGGACATGTCAGCCCGGGCCAAGTACGTGATGGACGTGGAGGAGATCACCCCTGCCATTGTGGAGGCCTTTGTGAATGACTTCCTAGCAGAAAAGCTCAAACCAGAGCCCATCTAGCCGCCCGCTTCCCGGATGTTATTTAAAACGCATTCTTCTCCCCGCCCTGCCCCGCCCTGCCCCCACCCTTGGACTTTTCCGGGATGTACCGAATCACACAGCCCAAGTGTCCAACCTCTCTGTGGTGCCTTGTTTTCTGCATTAACTCCTCAGCTAGCACCCTCGGGTGCGCATCCTCTCCAGCAGCAGAAGAACCTCCGTGTTTGGAGACTCTGCTTGGGATTCGCGGGGCTGGCAGAACCCGGCCCGAACCGGGACTGCAGCGTTCTCTTCGTCCCTAGCTCTTGGTGAGGTATTTGCCAGGGTGTTCTTCTGTCAAGTGGGCACCAAGGGACAGAGCATCGGTGCTCTGGCTCTGCCTTACGTGCCAGCACGTACGTGCAGAGCCCGAGGGTTCAGAGGCGCACAGGCGGTGGGTGGAGCAGGGAGAGGGTGGCAGCCGCGGAGGCCCCGTGCAGAGCTGCGGGCGAGGACGTCCTTTCCTAAGTGACTTGGTCTGTCTTGGCCTGAGGGAAAAACACCAGCTTGTCAGCCGGTTCTTGGGCAGGGGCTCTCCAGCCCTCAAAGGAAGTTTGTGTTCTTTTCTGGTGAGGAAGAGAGTAGCTATGGTAATGATTCACGTACTAATTGCTTACTTTGATGGAGCGCCTCCCATGTGATAAGAATGAGCTGCTCACTCCTTCCTTCTAGCTCTTTCTTCCTTGATCTTGACCTTCTCCCAGTTTCTACCTTCTCAGATGAACAGCCCTTACAATCTTGGAATGTTGTTACTAAGTTCTCCCCCTTGGACATCTTCCCAAGAAGACGCGGTGGTCCTGTGTTCCCGGAGGAGCACCGCTCACCAGCGCAGACCTGACTCAGCCTGGCTCTGGGCCTGGGGCCGCTGGAGCTCTGCTGAGGTGCCCTTGCCCACCCTTGGTTACCCCTGCATTCCCTTTTCTTCTCAAAGCAGAACTTAAAAGAGAGAAAAAAATTACCAGAAGCCTAGCTTTTTCCTAAGAACCTGCAGAAAGGGCTGTGCCCTGAGGTGGGAGTGCAGGCCAAAGACAAGTCAGCTAAGAGTAGGCCCTGGGTCCGCCCTGCCGGGCCCAGCTCAGCTCCTTGTTTGGGCTGAACTGACCACAGAAAGGAAGCTAACAGCTGTGCTCTTAGGATTTGGGATGGAAGGCTTTGCCTAGGGCCTCACAGGGTTTCAGCCTATCTCAGTCAGAAGTCAGGGCCTTTAAAATAATCTCAGGCCTCACCCCTGGCTCCACTCACAGCCAATCAAGACCATTTATTTGGAAAACCCAGCCCCCTCCAATTAGCTGTTGACATGTTGCTCCTTGCTGAGTGGGATTGTTGATTTGTAGTTCAGAGGTACAAATTTAGTTGGTAATTAGACTGTTACTGTTACCAGCCTGAAATGCAGTCACCTAGTAAGAAATAAAACAGGCATCTCTGGACGTTATCAACCACTTGGCCATTCCTGTCCTTCATAACAAAAAGCTTTTGGCTTGTGCTGTGCTCCATGGGGTGGGCAGTGGGGTGGGGGTGGGGGACACACAAGATCCTCTTGACTTTCACCGGATATTTGGCAGCTATGTTTCAGAATTTTTGAGAACCAAGCCCTAACGTGGTCATCTGTCGAATCCTCTGGAAGCCAGGATTCTCGTTTGGATTAGAGCGCCAGAGGCAGATGCCCCGCTGGAGCTCTGGCCGTCACCTCTCCGGGTTTGACTTGCTGTTGCAGGGGGTGGAGTCTCAGATTACAGACATCCTTGTGGACACGTGTTCATCCCCCCCGCTTCACGGGAACACGTGCTCAGAAGCCTGAGAAGGCCAGTTGGAGAAACACAAGGAGTCGAGCACGGGTCCTCCTGTGAAGAATGGGGCAGTAGTTGGAGACTCTCAAACCTAGCTCTGTCCTAGGGCTAGGGGCTGCTCTGGGAGCCCTGCCAGTGTCTCCCTGGGGGACGGGGGGGGTGTGGGGACGAGGGGAGGTCACCCTCACTTGGAGGATGGTCGGGATTTCTGTCTGTGCCCTGTACCATGACGGCCTTGGAGCAAAGGTGGTCTCTCTTAGCAACTACTTAACCTTCTGGGGCGAAAGAAACAAAGTCCAGTTGCGGCATCCTCCTTGCAAGTCACTGCAGCAGAAAAATTAGGTCATTTTTGATCCTTCTGCGGTCCATACAGGGCCGACTAAACTACTTGCCACTAATGTCAACTGGACCCTTGACACCAGAATTCCCCTTCTGGAGGGGGGTGTGGAGGTTAAGATCAATGGGAAGGTTTACCAAAAAGGTGCTTTTGGTTTATATGGTGGCGACTTTGGGGGAAAAATGCTGGGGGAGGATCACCTCACCAGTGAAAAATCCTGGTCTCTATAGTGCGAGAGATCTTAAAGGTTATTGATGCAGACGAAGTGGGTGGCATCTTAATTCCCACTAAGCAGCTCCAAAATATCTTAAAATTCTTGTCGCTAATCGGAAGCAGGTTAAAACACCAGCTGTGACATACTCAAGGTCTTCCACCAGCAGCAAGGGAAACCATGCCCTGCAGGTTGAGGCAGGATGGTGGCTGTAAAAATACCACCCTGGGGTTCCAGATCTGTGTTCACCACAATGACTTCAAGATCCGATTCTACCCATTTTCACAACAGAGATGAGATTTTTTTTTTTTTTAACCTGTCCCCAACAATAAAGATCTGCTTAAGAAAAAAAGTATGTGTGTGGGGTTGGCATGTACAGCGGGCAGGTGTAAAGGCCAGAGGGCGACTGAGAATCAGCCTCTTTTCCAGAAGTGAGGGGGCTGCCTGCTACCTCCGCCCCAAGTGTGTCCTCGCAATCAATGACTCGCTCATCCAAGCGCAGGGAGCCTGTTCTGCTTTTCTCGCATCAGCCAAGCTTCAAGTGGTAATTTTCAGCCAGACTGTGTTTTTTCCTGTTGCCTAATTAAAGCCACTGAAAAGCTGTTCTCTCCTCCTGCGGCCTTGTTCCAGGGCAGCAAACGGAATTCTGCAGTGATAGACATAGTAGAATGTGGTCCAGGAACGGAGCAGCTGGACCCAATGAGGTCATCGGAGGAGGAGGACTGCACACGCGTGTGCGTGTACATGTGGAGAGGCCCGCGGGCTTGGAGTGGCAGCCCTGGGAGGGGCCCGAGCGAGTAGCTGGTCCAGCCCCTCCAGTCACGCAAGCATTCTGTTCACTGTCGCCTTCCCCTCGGCCAGGCCCGCTTGCCCCCTGGGAGCAGGAGCTGAGCGCAGCGGCGGCGAGCAGTGTGGATCGTGGGAGGTCCAGCAGTGCCCCTGCAGCTTCTCTCCGGTGCTGCGGCATGAACCGAGGACAGCCCGGGCTCAGGATCTTCCATTTGCCCTGAAGCAGCTGTGTTCAGTCAGCACTCAAACCTAAGGCCCTCTTTGCTGACACCAACAGGGACAGGAGCGCCCACCACTTTCCTCCAAGCAGGCTGCTCAAGGGAAAATGCTTTGGGGACAAACGGCTGTTGTCTATTCGCCTCATTATTATTATTTTTTTTGCGGTACGCGGACCTCTCACTGTTGTGTCCTCTCCCGTTGCGGAGCACAGGCTCCGGACGCGCAGGCTCAGCGGCCATGGCTCACGGGCCCAGCCGCTCCGCAGCATGTGGGATCTTCCCGGACCGGGGCACGAACCCGCATCCCCTGCATCGGCAGGTGGACTCTCAACCACTGCGCCACCAGGGAAGCCCCTCGCCTCGTTATTGATTGTTCATTATTAGCAAGTGGTGCATGTGTGAAGGGTGGAATATTTTCCAGGAAACAAAAAGCTCGGATGTAGGAAAATCTTATATTGGCTCTACTCTATGGCCGTGATTTCTCCTTCTACAAGGGTAGATCTGACATCAGGACATTCTAGGTATGCCTAAGTGTGAAAGCACGAAGAGAAGTAAAGCTGCTGCATTTCTCAGCCTAAGTATGTCTCACCCTCTTGCCCTTCTGGAACACTTCCCGAGTCAGGAAATGTGTGACTAGATTTGGGTAGGACTTGTTCTGAGGGGCTGTAGGGTTTCCATGCAATAATGTGCCACCTCATGAAAGCCTCTGTCCCCAGTCCTGTAGGCCAGTGTGCAGCCCCAGGAAGGCAGCCAGTCTCAGGTCTGACTCCTGTGCGCTCTTGCCTCACACAAGTAAGTCACCCACATGGGCTACAAGTGGGATATGGGAGGAGGCAATGATTAGGACCCAGTCCCCGAAAACAGATATCCTTTGATATCAGAGAATATGAAGTCCCCAGCCAGTCAAGCCACTCTGCTGGTCTGGGGTCACAGAGGTGCAAGGGCGGCTGGGAGGCCAGACCCTGCTGCAGCCACGTCTCTCCCCAACCTTAGTTCTCTTCTTGCATTTTGAGGAAGGATCAGCTTTGGTGATGGTCTTCTCCAACTATGAGACCTTAGTTGAAAAAACTTGCTCTTCCCTACAAAACAGATGAGAAGAGCTGCTACCATGTGTGATGTATGCACATTTTCAGTACCTGGCCTTTGAGCAGTGGCCTGACTTCCTGAGGCTATGAGCGCCTGAAGCTGCTGCAAGGTAACGTGGGACCCTGGTTCAGGGACTGTCAGTCACCCACAGCAGCACATCTGGCTTCTAAGTTCTTTCTTTTGCGTGTTCACTGATGTAGAGGACGTGAGATCTTGGAGTTTAAAGGTGTCTACGTGAGTGTGTCCTTTAAAACACATTTTTCAGGTGGGCCAGTCAGTTCTGCTCCCACAGCGGGTGGAGGCGGCTTGGCCAAGAGGGGCCTACAGCACAGCCGTGGTTTTCAGCAGCAGTCGGGGAACCCTGGGCGTGGTGCTGATCCTGGAGTCTTCGTGTGGCGGAACAACAGAAGTGGAGCAGTGCAGCTTTTGGTGACGTCGGGTGTTGCTAATAACCCTGGGGCAGGTGGTAGAAGGCCCCAGTGGAAACCAGTCCCCCGAGGTCTGTTTATCCTCTGGGCCTTAATGACTGAGATTCTAACATGAGCCAGTAGCCATGGCTGGGGTGGGGGGGGGGAAGAAGACCTTTCTGCCTCCCCTGCCCTGAAACCCTAAACGGGGTGAGGCGGTGGGTTCTCAGTGTGAGTTCCAGGCACCTGGGGACATCAGCATTAGTCCAGAGCTGCTTTCCCAGAGGCTCCATTCAAGGGGAAAAGATGTGCTAGTTTTTTCTGAGGCAGCTACGTCCCACTTCTGTCCATTTCCTCCCTAGTTTTTGGTCCAATGTTCTGTACTTCAGATTCTGCCGAGAATGAATGACAACGTGGGTGGGTCTTCAACTTTAGCACCTCTGAGCACAAACAGCTTGCAAAAGGCCCACTGTGGTGAAGGGAGACTTTTGATTCCATCCTCTTTCACAAGTTATATCCAGGGAAAATCCCCACCCTTCCCTTCAGGGTTGGGAGTGGTTGAGGCGTGACTGCCCCCTTGTGGCAGAAATCACCACTACGGCCACATGCCACACAAAAGCAAGGGGCAGCTTGGCCAACCTTCTGAAGGCTTCTCTTTCAGCCAAGCAATGTGTTTTACTTGTCATATACTGCTCAGTTTTCATTCCTGTCTCCTGGGGAAATGGTGACATAAATATTGGCCTCAAAACTGAGAAGAATTCCAGATGGCTAATTTCCATCACTAGGCAAACAACTTCACCATTTGCTTCCACTGTAATCATTTTAAAGAAAGGAAAATTTGCCCTCCCCTCTACTAAGTTATACCCACAAATATACAAAAAGAACTCACAAGGCATGGCATGCAAGTCATGGACTATAAAGTGAATGGGATGTAAATGTCTTTTCCTTCTTACACCCAGGATGATAGAATGACTTGCTAGGTGTGCTCTTCTGCGATGCTTTGTTTTTCTGAACAAAGACAAGGTATAGGGTTTGTTGTTCTTTCACTGGTTTTTATTTTGCAATAAAAGTCAGTAGGAACAATAACCCAGGGACAAAAATTGCAGGAGGCCGGTTTTATGCTGAAAAGGCATGAGCCTCTTTTTATTTTTTTAAATATTTATTGGATTATAACTGCTTTACAATGGTGTGTTTGTTAGCTTCTGCGAGCCTCTTTTTAGCGACGTGTTTCTTTAGCACTTTTCCAAGGCGCTGGGAGACTGTCAATAGAGTGGTATCGTTCTCCGGTGTCCACCACCCCCAATTTCGCGTGCTGGTGTGATGGGCATTATAGCTGTGAAGCTGGCAGAGGGCCCCAGCCTTTGTGGGCTCAACACAGCATAAAGGCTGTGGGTTTTTCTACTTTTTAAAAGCTGATGGGGGATGGAGAGTCTCAAGAACATTCTGGGGGCCACTGTCACCCAACATCTGTGTGGGGCCCTGGGCAGCCCCAGACCAGAGTGGGACACCAGGGCAGCTTCTGGCCAGTCAGCCTGAGAGAACACAGCCAACCAAAGAGATTGTTCCTTTAAAAACCCCTCCCCTCAAACATAACAAAGCAATCCCACTGGCGCACCACTTGGGGCACGGTCATGTGTGACCTTTTGGTCTTACCAGGGAGCTGGGCAAGCCAAGGGAGGAGGGAGGGGTTCACGGTTCATCTTGGGCATGCTGCAACTCATTGGACCTCCCTGTGATGAGCAGCTGAAGGGCTCCTAAGGAACCCCAACCACGACAGGAGCCACTGTACGGAAGGGACGTGGTGACACTACACTGCTAGTGTCTTTGTCCTCAACTCCAACCATATTCGCTGTGGTGGTAAAAGCACTGCTTGAACTAGGTCCCATCCTCTAGTTCCCGCCATCTCACCTCACACACGCACAGTGACTTACACACACAGCGATTACCATCTGCTTTTGCCCTCGTGTCCCTGGCTACATCCCGCTGGCACTTGGTAAGTAAGGATCCAGCTTGCCCTGGTCCCGTGGGGGTTTGAGAGAGAGAAGAACAGCAGGGTCTTGCTGCAGAGTTGTGGGCTCAAGGGCCCCAAGCTCTCATCCTCAAAACCTCAGCCTCTCCCCTCACAGAAGCCTCTGTTCACACAGCCTCCAGGAACAGTGGCGTTTTCCTAACAGTTCTGTTTATGCAGGATGGGGGATTAATGTAAACAAGTCATTACATTTAACCAAAAGTGTTATACAAAGTAGGACTAACAGCAGGAAGCTAGTAAAAAGGGTACAGCTTTGCTGACAGATGCAGGATTAAGCCGAAGATTTAAGAACTGTTTCCTCCTTTTCTGAACCAAGTTCTCAAAAAGATATCTGCAGAGGTGCTAAGAAGGTGTAATACCACCTGATGAATTCAGCTCTTTCACCAGAAATGGGGGAAAAAATTGTGTCATACATAAACAGTGTTTAAGTCATGGCCTGAATTAACCATCACAGAGATTAACACAGCCAAGCCAAAAGAAGAGCCAGCTACTGAACGCCATCACCTGTAGCCCTCAGCTTCCTGGGTCATTAATCTCTTAGCAATATCCTCATCACTAGGCCAAAGATGAAAAGACAGGCATTGGGACCCACTGACCACACTGAAATAAAACTTTTTAATGTAATCTGCTGGTCTACACTTCACAGGGGTGAAGTCAATTTCCACTGACCAATGATCACAGGAGTGAGTGACCAAGGCCGGCCTCTAACCAGCGCTCCATGATTGCAGAGCACCCCCAGCTGTGGAGGGAGGGGTCCTCCCTACCCAAGGTGATGCCCTCAGCAACTTTCTGGGCACAAAGATGCTCCTTGGTGGACAGTTTTTAAAAACATACAGCCATGAGGAGCATTTACTTATGTTGTCTCTCTCTTACCCACACACACATGTACATATACACACATATATAAAAGTCAGTGGGAAGATGGAGATCTCAGGAGGAATTTTGGCCTTTGTTATTTTTGAGGCTAAGCAGAAAGTCAGGGAAGTTCTTATTTTTCCAATAACCACAGAGACAACCTAAAACTGAGGACTGGCTTCCACGTCCCCTCTCAGTGGTAACTCCCGTCCCTGCTCAAGTGTTCCGCCCTCACCCGCAGTTGTCTTCTCCCTTCAAAGAGCAGGATGCTCGCAGCCATGGCCGAGTTCAGGCTGTCCACACCAGGTACGATGGGGATCAGCAGCCTCCCACCCCCCGTGCTCTCAGCCAACTGCAGGGACTCCAGGCTCACGCCGCTGGTCTCCCCACCTATCACCACAGCTGCAGGTGCCTCTGTCCAGTCTGAGTCGTAACTCTGGACCTCAAGTTCAGGGAGCCAGCCTTTATTGGCTGTACTTTCTAGATTCTCTTCCTCCTCCTCATACTTGTGAAACTTTAGGGGTCGTCGGTCACATACCCAGCCGTAGTCACTGGCCTTATTAGACATCTGGGCCTGGGCCTGCATGTAAAGGCCACAGTTGTCAGCCACGTAGACGCGGGTGTCATTGGGCAGGTAGTTGGGCACTGCTTCCCAGGCCAGGTTGTTGATGATGGGCACTTGGAAATGTGCGCCCATACCTGCCCGCAGCACTTTGGGTTCCCAGGCATCCACACAGCCTAGAAAATAAAAGGATCCAATTAACATTACAAACCTTCCCAGACATGGGGACTTTGAAGTAAATCAGATTAATTCTGGATCAGGAGATAAAAAATGTCCTAGCGTGGCCTTCTTGTGGCTGAGACCTCTGCCTCCCCAGCTATGGCAGTGTCCAGCCAAAGGACTGGAGGATTCGTTCCTGCTAGTGCTGAAACAGATTTTATTCATCCCTTCAACATTTACCACACACAGGGAATTCCCTAGTGGTCCAATGGTTAGGACTCGGTGCTTCCACCCCCGGTCGGGGAACCAAGATCCCACAAGCCATGTGGTGAGGTCAAAAACAAAAAACAAAACAAACAAAAGAAACATTTACCACACACGTGCCAGACATTGGATGGGAGATGAGAGAGCCTTAAAGTCCCCAAACTCAAGGAGCTCATGATGGAGTGGGCAGTGGTGTCGGGACGACATTTCAGCAGGTGACTACACTACCAGTAATAACTGATATAAAAGAAGCATGAACAAGGTAACAGAAAACTCTCGTACAAAGCAGGGCTATCAGGAAAAACCACCCGAGAACACAACACTGAGCGGAATCTTGAAGGTTAGGAGGGTTTTGTCAGAATGACCAGGTCAGAGAACAAAGTTACAGAAGTGGGAAGAAAAACTAAGTAAGGTAATTGGGCCAATTACTGAGTTGGGGTGGGATGGGGGTGAGGTGGGAGATGAGACCGGAGGCAGGAAAGGACCAATTTAAAGGAGGCTGGGTATGCCAGACTGAGGAGTTTAGGATTTTATCCAGAAGACAATATAATAACCCTGAAGGATTTTAAGCAAAGTAGTGACAAAATCTGGTTTATGTTTTAGAAAGACCCATTTGGCTTCCATGTTGAATCTGGATCGGAGCAAGGAAGATGCTAGAAATGGGGAAATTAGACTGGAAGCAATTACAGTAATCCAGGGAGAATCAAGGCCACAGCCCTTTCTTCCATACACACTTCCTCTCCCTTCCGTGCAGTTGTGCTAAACCCAACCACCTCTATGCATCAGCAGACACTTGGCCTTTCCCACAGGTCAGGAGACAGCAGGACCAGGGCACCACATATCCGCTATCTTCCCTGACTTGTTAGCACGAGTCTCCTCATCATAAGTTATCTTAGAAGTTAGCCTGTCAAACTTCAGGACAGGTTAAGTAGGCAAACCAAGTTTATAAAGGAAAAAAAGACACGCAGAATGTACACTGTTCACATGGATCGATTCCCCAACCACAGGAACAAAGCATGGGAAGTGGGCTGTGTGCAAAGAGGTGGCAGGAGGGGCGGGCAGAAGAGAGGCCCAGACTGGAGGGGCGCCATCTAGTCTGACCCCTCCACCGGTGGGGAGCAAGGGACAAGGTGAGACTCCCCCTCATCCTGGTGTCCTCAGCACTGG